GGCCGCCGCGCTAGCAAAATCGCACATGGTCCCACGCGGCCAAAATAGCCAAAACGCGCATTGTCGTCAACGTGTTAAATTCCTTCACGGGGAAAGTGAATAAATGCTCTCTTTTCGTAACCACTATTTGTCGTTCTGATCGAAATCCTACTGTTATATGTTTAGATAATCTTTACGCATTGGACATTGCAGAAATTATTTTGTGACATTCATGTTTTTGTTCATTTACAAAACAAAATCTGCGGTTATGTGGTGAGGCGGCGGCGCCCACAAAATCGCGTCCGTCCCACGCGACCGAAAAGTGGAAAAGGGGCGTCGTCGTGAATGTGTTAATAATGGGAATAATGAGAGGGGCCCGCGTAATATTCTGTGAGAATATGAACCTCGTGAATCAACTGCAGGAACCTGGAATATGATATATGAATAACAGTGAAGCAGGAACTTGCGGCCCAATTTATCCAGCTGTAGCCATACTAAGTTTCCTTAGCGTTTATTGTTTCATTGCTTGTTATATGTTTCCTTTGCTAACTACAATTTACAGGGGGAGATTCAATAAGAAAACATTTTGTTACCAAATTTAAATGGATTTAATCATACTTTGCTGACTTTGAAGCGAATGCTCCCAGCTTGAAATTGAATAACAGTTTCCATTCTCTGAAGCAAAAAGAAACCTATGGTGGCCTTCTATGTACGTGGACGATAGCAAAAAATCTGCCACGGAAGTAAGGTGCGGTCGAGCTCAACGAGATCCTTGGCGAGTCATGAACTATTGCAACATTTTATGGAACGCTGGTTGGGGGGAGGGGATCCGCACTCAGAGATGAAGTTCCTTGGAAATTATCTGATAGTGAATGATCAAGAAATTATGTAAGAGCTTCAGGCTGAAGCAATTACGGTAGGCCTCCTTGAGCTCGACGACGATGACAGATGACGTCATATTCTGAAGACGGTGAGGGTAGTGAAGGAGGCTTGCATCTGTTCACAGAGGGGCATTTGAGGAATTGGAAGGCATCCATGAATCCAATCTGTATTGGTGAAAAGACCCTTTTTGTGTGACAGGGCCGTACCCCTGGCACTCGAGAAACGAACTATCGACTCTTGTGTTACGCCTACAATGCTTTATGGAGCTGAGACCTGGCCGCTGCGAAAGTCAGACATGCAAAGTTGGCTGTGACACAAAGGAAGATGGAAAGAAAAATGCTGCGGTTGACAGTGCTGGACCGGTGGAGTAATGAAAGAATAAGATCACTTACGAAGCTCAGCGACTGGACAAAGGAAGCGAGTAAGAAGAAAATACTATGGGCCAAAAAGATACGTGAAATGGACGAAAACGAATGGGCCCGCAAGATAACGACATGGATTCCATACGATTACGTGAAGCAAGAAGACGAGGACATCCTTACACTCGATGGCGCGACGACGACCTGACGAAGAAGATTGGGCAGAACTGGTGGAGTATGACAGATGAAGAATACAGACAAGCCATGATACGGCATTCGAATATGAATTGGTTCCGTAATAAAACTTGAAACTTGAAAAGTTTGCTGCAAGATTTCCGTCAGCGGTGGCAATCTGCGACGAAAAAAATCGCTGAAGTGCGACATGGACAAAACATCTTTTTCCCACCGCCCCCTCCTATATTCCATTTCTCCTTCAAAGTGGGCGTTTTCTAATTGAAGTTGCCTCTTTTAATTGATCAAAAACCTTTTCAACTCAACTCGTCTTTTTTCCAAGTGATCGTAGACATTTTTCAAAACAGCGTAGATTTTTTCTTCTCAGCTTGGACACTGACTGAATCGATCGTGATCATTTATATTTTCGACCATGAATTCTCTTTGATGAACTAAGAATTCTTAGTGAATAAATTTTTCCTCATTCAATAAGTTAGCACACTTATGTGAAACGAATGAAATTTCCTTGCAATGAAACACAAAGGAAGCAATGCGAACACCCCTAGTCAAAAAAAGAATGTCCAGGTTCATCATTCCTCCTCATAATGGTTGAATTAACCATCATGAGGAGAATGTGCTTCGCTTAATTGGGTTCCGTCACCGTCCTATGGCTTTCTCGAGTGAATTTGCCAGCGTCT